CGGAAAGTGTTTGGCTAACAGTTCTTTTGGGATTTTGCTTCAGCAGGTCTAAGGTGATTGTATTTTTCAAGAAAAGAAAGAAAACAGCACAGTAAATTTCTGTTATAATACTGCGCTAATAACTGCTAACGACGCAACTGTTCAGATCAACATACTTGCTTCCGTTTCCCATTCGGATAGTTTCGTAACAATCGTTGTGGAATCCTTGATCCCTCGCTGTACCTTTTTAACCATCCCGGCAACGGTACGTTACTTCGGCTATCTAGTCAGTCTGTAGCAAAATGCCACAACACACCTAGATGGCTATTTCACCTGAGATGTGTCTCAGGCATTGAACGTTCCAGAAAAGAGCTCCATTGTGTCCGTGAAAAATGTTGATTTATTTTCCCAGACCGTAATATGCAAAAACTGTTCGTGTTTTTGATGGTAAGAATGATTTCATTTACTAAAGACAATATCGAGGCCAAATTGGCCGATTCCACGGTCCTTTGTGACTTCTAGGTTGCACTTCGTGAATCGTGCTTATCCACATCCCTTAATCCGGTCGCGGATCCTCAACTCCCCCTCATTCACACGGATTATCCTCACACCTAGGTATCGATGTTAGCGCATGTATGACTCACACATCCGAGGTATAAGTACACACGCGCAAACCACCCACACGAGACGACGACACCAACGAGGTTGAGCTCTGAAGTAAACGGTTGTGTCCACGTCCTCCCCGATCTTTCTCTTCATCGCGAGTTTCAGGCAAGCGTAATCGGGCCAGGGTTAATTCCGTGGCCCCGGCGCGGTTCAAAGCCACATGCTGGGGCCCACAACAAGATGGAGTGATAACGCCGGTAATGGGCACGCCAATTATATGGATTCTTGTGACAAGTATCGGTCATGAAAAGGCAGCACCAATGAAACTTAAGAGACTTCCTTGTGGGGATTAGAGCACTGGTCACGACATTAATGAGGGGCCCTAAATTACACACAGGGCCTCTAGCGTACGGATTTCTTGAAATTAGGTTAGAGCGAAAATTGTTTTCAAACTCTGTCTAGGCTACTTCGAGTTTAGCATGTACAAACTATGGGTTCTAGCTACGGTGCATGTGGTTTCTCGGGGTGTAAGGGCCATTGTACCGATTAGATATTTGGAACTGCAGAACGTTCGGCTAGTTCGATTGCCTAAGCCAGTTTCTGCTGAGGTGTTGGGGCTGTCACCCCCTCTAAATGTGAGTTTCGATAGTTGAGAGACTTACGAAATTCCCGTCTAACTCGATTGGATCGGAGTCTCTAGTGTGGACTCTTACAATGACCTGTTCAGTTCTATCGACAAGTGGGAAATCTGTTGTCTCTATTTTTGTATGACCACCTTAATTCTCTTTTACTATGAGCCAAGTCTGTGATCTTGTGTAGAGATTGCTGTCTATTCATTGCGTAGCAAATTAAGGCTTCAAAACTACAGATCAACTCTTGTGCATGGTGACAAGTACTTAGCCTATTGTCGGGGTTGGATTAATTCATTGGCATTATTGCTGCCAGTTAAGAAACGCAAATATCAAAGAAGCTGTTACGAAGTCCCAACAGTTGATTTAATTCCTGAACGTAGGCACCACAAACCTGTCGTTGGATTATTGGATTAAGAAAGTCGACAACGTCAGGTGGTAGCTGCGAATCAGCATTAGAACACACCGCAATGTGGCACGTCAACATTCAATTGCCGAAGTAAACATCAATTTGAGGGCGGTGCTGTATGAGGAAAGACTCACGAAGATTATGCATTCCCAAAATGTTAACAATAATGGACTGTACAGATTTGAGCTCCATGAACGTGGAGACACGCCAGATTAGGGAATAAAAGACACTCCGGGAGGTTCAACCACACGCACTTATTAACACACACCATGTACGTCGAATAACTTTATGGCACGAAATGACTGTGTTGAGAGAAAAACAGCCTCATGCAGATGCACTCTGTAAGCCACACCCGATTAGAAAGCGAATTGTAGCCGGCGGTAGGTCATAATCACACTTAAAACAACGGCTTCATAAAAACATTAGTGTAAATGTGGCACAACAGGAGTTTTCAGCCCTAGAGTTAATCATTGATTGTAAAAGCTAGGGAACCACAACATTCGAGAACAAAGAGTAGAACGGTGAGTCAGATCTGTGGCCGTCGATTCCACTATCCTATTTGCACGCTTAGCATTCCTCCCCTTGGATTTCGTGTGCCCAATAGGTGAGACAGCCTATTTTTGTTGCTTTGATGCCACTGACTCCGGCGTGAGGTCTGTGCGAAGGAACCAAAGCTTGGTAAAAATGTGTGGTGAATCGTGTTGATTCAAGTCTAGCAACCGTTTTTTCACAGCCCTGTACATCTACCCCTTCCCCCTACCCCCCCCCCTAAACCCCTACATTAATATCTCCATTGTGCCATTTGTGCTTTTACAGATTCTCTTAGACCGCATAGGTCAACAGCAACCTTTGTTACCGTGTCTTTGTATTCTCATTGGTTGAAGCCGACCTATGAAAACAAGGATGCCGTCAACATACAAAGACGCGTCCGCTTCTGAAAATAACGCATTATCAACAATCCAACAGTTTGTCAGCCTCGAAACCGTCTATATTTTCACTAGAACCAATATTGAAGAAGCTAGACGTTAGTAACCTGTTGTTTGTATAAATACTCAAATTGTTGTATCGTGATTGGCTGCACAGATGTGAGAACTTCGAACATAGCATGCGACACAGTCCAATAACTCGATGTGCTTTTTTAAACATCTCAACAATGATAAAGATACATAGATCTATACCACGGTAACCGTGAAAGTAAATCTGACAGGTAATCATTGAGAAAAGTTTCAATCAGATGGCTTAACTCAGTTGTGACAATGTGTCTTTGTGTGTGTGTACGAGGTCAAGCATCCTTTAAAGTCCCAGGCGCATAAGGGGAATTCAAGAAACCATTGATAATTGGGTGAGATGAGTCACCAATCTTCCGGCTAGAGGACTTGATTTTTTATCACTCATTTATTTTCTGAAGGGTTAACTGCACAAACTCAGCCCTTCTGCAGAAATTCCTCACCGATATTAAAAAAACTGCAAACAATTCGCACACATTCACCGCATGCAAGGCAAGGCGTTATTTTTTTTCCATTTCACGCTGGAAAATCACTGCGAGGTCAGTCCACGTGGCAAACTAAAATTATCGGCTTGATTACGCCTAACAAAGCACCGGCTCCAGATGCGGTATTGATTTTTTGCCGCGTGTAGCTAGAAAATCGATGGAATCGCTAACCTGGACAGTGGACTTTTAGTCGCTAGAGCGCGGTTTACCGATGTTTCTATTTAATCAAACTTTTCTATTATTTTAGGGTGCATCTGAACCAATTCGATTTCTCTCATCTACAACGGTAAAGTTAATGCAAGATCACGGGAAGACAATTTGCTCGGTTTGAGGCAAATTTAAGCGAAATTTGCTCGTGCGTAATCAGCAACGTGCAGGCGTACCTTGTGAGATATTATTGAACTTGCTGGAGGCTCTAACCCCGCATGAAGTGATTTATCGGAAAAGTAAAATGTTCAAATCCACTTATCAAATTCTCCTTGTTCACGTGACTTGCGAATTCTGCGAGCAGCTTCTTCGGAAGACGATGTGAACCATGACAGAAGCCACATTGGGGAATGTTGTCAGAGTACTTGGCGCCGAAAAGGATTATTTGAAGGCTTATTAACTAGCTTCAAACTGCAGTCTCAAATCACACGAACACCAAGCTAAACCACCCCCCCCCCAATGGAACAACTAATTTTAATAATGTCGAAAAGCCAACTACTCTTAGTAACCACCCAACAAATAACCTGAATGCACATTCCAACCTAGTCACATTCTTTAGGTGCATCGAGCTAAAAATAACCGTCTATGAGGGCTGACTCGTACATTACAACCCATAGTGATTACTCCACTCTCGGGATATCCAAACAGAAAATTGGAATAACCATCTGAGTAAACGTGTTATAGCTCACGCGAATTCAACACAACCGTCAGCAGGGTGCTGCGCCGAACAAGGGACTCCGTGGTCTACAATGTTTCAATGAAAACAGATCTTGGTCCGGCCAGTCCCAATTATTGATTGCATGACTTAATTTTTACAGATTTTTTCTCCGAGCACAAAATTGCCTTTAAAAATGGAAGTATTTTTGGCGGTCATTTTTTTGGTTTTGAGGGGATAGGACGTGGGGTTTCAGAAAACCAAACGACAAGTCGAGGTGAGTTGCATAACCTCTTGCAATAGCTGAGTCTACAATGGTAACTGAAAAACAGAAGGTTTGATGGCACTGCATTTCATACGAACTTCATCGACTTTGTGTCCCATTAAACGTGGATTGGTACAAACCTTTTAGAAGCGGAGATTTTGATCTTAGTGACCGGCACAGTCTCGAAAGTTTGACGATGGGGAATCGCAAGCTCTACTGGAAGATGAAAAGTATATTTTTTTACGAGAATCCCGGGAAATTTACTAAATCGACGCTAAAACAGGACACCCATTGGTACATGAAGGTTGTACATCACTACAAATTCCTGGAACCTGGTCATACGGTGACTGTGCAACGATACAGCCGAAAACTGAACAAACTGAGGGAAGATCTTGATCTAGAAAGGTCATTTGCTGGGCAGGGGAGCAGGCAAGTCATACCGCCGTTGCATGACAACTCTTGAACACTGCTCGGGCAACTCAGAAGACCTTAAACTTGGGATGGGAAGTTCTCCCACACGCGGCATACACACCGGACTAGATCCCATCCCACTACCATTTTTTCCGCTCAATGCAGCAGCAGCAGCACGCCTTTGTGAATTAACAACTCAAAACGTCCGACGATGTACATAAATCCGTCGACGACGTAATTGCCTTGAAGCCTTCGAGACGGCGTTCGTACATCACCCGAGAGATGGCGCATGGTCGCCGAAGACGATGAACAATATCTCCGACATTAACTGTCGTTCCCTACTTTCACATTCAATAAATTTGCTGAAGATTCTGTAAAACTAAAATCGAAACCTACTACTCGCCGCATCACTGTGGTTATTACCGCAGACGGCAGTGAGGTCAGTCAAAATCTCCTCGTCACGACACTGTACTCAAGGGACTAGTATCTACGCAGAGAACTATGCCAACCACTCCTTCCCAAGCCCCTAAAACCCATATTTGGCGTCGCGACTGTGTCAAACCGTGTGTTAACCCATGAGCCAGACTCAACTTTCAACGACCGAGAGAAGGGGGGTAGTCAAGTTTGAGCTTGTTTTAGCAGTAGTAGAAGAGAATAAACTAATAATAAACCAGAGAGTTCCAGTCTTCGACCTAACCGCGTGCCGCAATGGGCACATCAACCACACACACGATCAGAAAAAACTACGAAAATATCCTGGGAACAGGGGTGGGGGAGATAGAGCGAGAGGGAGGCAGAGCAACGCGCACCTTCGCGGCCTGGCAAGCGACGAACGCATACAAATCACTAAGTGGGAGTGCAGCTGAGACAGTAGAAAACGGGAAACCAAAGCAAAGTAATTGCAACTGGTGCCCCACCGGCGAGCGGTGCGCGTGATGACCCCTTAGGGGGGGGGAAGGGGGAACCGGTAATGGGAAGACTTGAATGAGGGAGAAAGTAACGTACAAAATAGGAATGAGAAGGAAGAACAGGCAGGTTGGGGTGTGTACAAACATCACGAAATGCTGGGGGAAGGGTTCTCCTTTTTTTTTCATTAAAAAAAAACGATCAACAAGTTGGTGTTCAGGTGAGGCGGGGAGGGGGTACTGACAGCTTTTAGGAATCTGAAGAGCAGGTGGAAGATGACGGTGTGGAAACGGTGGAAACTGAAGACACCGAGGATATCTCCACGTCCGATTCACAAGCCTCAGCTGGCTTCTTCAACTAAAGTATGGAAACACAGAGGATCTGGCCATTATGGCTAAACACGAGAATAGAGAAGGGACATCGTGTACTCCCACCGTCCAGCGCATGACTGGTGATACTAGGACTGTCTTCCACCTTCAAGGAAATGGTGGGCTTAGTCTTCAGCACAACAAGATGGTTGACCTCAAAATCAGCCTAACTCATACTGCTCAACTAACCCAAAACAGGCAAACAAAGCAACCGTTTAACCAAACTCACGGCTCACCTAGTCCCAGGATTTAGGTCTAAAAAGGGCAAACACGAACTCGAGGTTGGTTGATGGGACAAACTTCTCGATTAGGGGGACGAAGACAAGCAGCGGTGAGATTTTAGCGGATTTAGGTTAGAGATGGGCGAGAATTTGGTAGCCTTAGTGCAGGCAGATGCACAAAACAACCGCGACAGATTCGCTGCGTCCGCAAATCACCGCTGCTGCGATCTGGGGTTCAGGTGGAACAACCAGCTACTGGATGATTTTGGTGAAAAATGGCAGAAACTCGAGTCGACGGTGCTGTTGCAGCGAGAAGTCACGCTGCTCTCGCATGACCCCTAATCTGGAAAGGATTTGACCTGGTCTTGTGTTGGCTTGCAAATTTTATCCGTCAAAAACAGCGGCGATTTGCGAATGAAGCGAAACGTCTGCGCGTGCTGTAGTCACAGTGTCCACGCCCACTCCACAAATGAGCACTCTCCCACGTGGGCATCATCCGAAGGGTGCTTCGATTGGCTCCGAAACAGGCGTTTTCCAAGCTGGTGGTTTCCACGAGTTGAAAGATGGAACCTCAACACTGCACCCTCAGCCACACTTAACCAAATGGGCAATATTGGTAAACGATGATAACGATGATGCTGGGGATCCACCAAACAATCAGGGAAATAGATTAATTCATTAATGAAAAGCCAAGGCGCATTAGGAGTAATCAGGAGAAGCGGGTTGTAACACGAAAACCACCACCACAACCGTAAACTCTAGCCCAAGTCTACCTCCTCCCAGCAGTGAGCATCAATCGAGAGCAAATGCGAAAAAGAGGAATCAGGGGGAATCGGAGACGGCTCACTTTAGGGCGGGTTCCTAAAAGACGGTGGGAAATCGCTGTTGGAGTTAATTCGGTGGGGTAGGAACGAGCATAGGCAACAACAAACTGCCTCAAATTGAGGTAAATTAACACGCACAAAAAAATACCCCGAGACTAAACACACACACACACACTGTCCGTCACAAAGAGCACACCAACCTCTCTTCGGAAGCTCTCCTTCTGCACAAACGGGGGTTGTTGCGAAACTCGGTTCAGTTTCTTTTCGGATCCACCGGCCGCCAGGTGTTTCGTCATGGCCTTCTTCGAGGCGAGGGCCTTCATCTTGCGGCGCTGCTCCTGTTGCGTGCGGATGTCTGGCGTGCCGGGGAGGGGAGCGAGGTCGTACTTCGGCCGCACGACCGCCGGCTTCTCCGTCTTCTTGGGCGCCGGCGCCGGTGCGGGTGGGGGTGAGGTCTTCTTGGGGGGTCTCGGTGGTGAGTCATCGAGGCTGGAGAGCGAGGAGAGCTCGTCGTCTTCGGTGACACGATGCAAACGCTTCTTGGTCCCGGACTTGCTTGGGTCCTTCTTTGGTATTGAGGTATGGTACTTGCTGAGCGACGCAGAAGGTGCCTCACGGTTTGGCTTCGTGGGCTTGTTGAAGGAAAGGAAAGGAAAGAAATTCAGTTAAGTCTAGGACAAGTTTAAATTCCAAGATTCAACGTCAGGCCTGTTGAGAGGCGGGCTTACGTGTTTGGTCGACTTTGAGACATTGGAAGAGGACGAGGAGCCGCCAGAAGGGTGGGGCTGTTTCCTCTTTTCGCCCGACTTAACGGAAGACTGCTGCCTGCTTGAGGGGGCCTTGCGAACTGGACTGGAGTCGGACAGGGACGAGAGGCTGCCGTTGGCCTCATCGATGTCATCAATTTTGCGGTGTTTTGACGGCGGAGGTTGGACCTTTGTGGGCGCCTTGGCCGGCGCCCGTTGGTCATTGTGGAGTTTGCTGGCAGACGTGGAAGGCTTGTCTGAGAGGAAAGAAAAGAAGCCATGTTAAACAGAAAACGCATTAGACAAAAAAATATGCGTTGTGGGAAACGCAAAGAGGGGCTTCGTGGCCTGTGGACGGTAACTCGATACGGGTTGGGTCTTTTTCCGGTGAAGCTAAGCGGACCCCGGAACACAGGCCAAATTCACATAATCTATCAAAGTCTTAAAGAATGTCCGATAAATTAGTCGGGAAAAGTGTGGTTATCAGGGGAAACAACAAATCGTTCGGAGGAATTCAGTCGCTATCAAGGTTCCTTCAGGCAATTTCCATGGACTACACATCACAAGCACCAGCAATCACACGAGGTTCACGATGACACGTTTTGAAAGATCTTTACGCACTTGAAGATGTTCAGATCACATGAGCACTCCGATTGTCATGCTCGCAGACAGACATGTGCGCAAGTTGTGTTTCAATCCAAACTCCTAAGCACTTTCCAAAAGTTCAAATGCCAGACAAAACCATTCTCCGACAGATTTTCGTGTCCAGAAAAGTTGTGGGACCCTCTAATTGTGGCTGGTCCGAAAAATTCCTCACTTACTCTCTCCAGTCCTGGACTTTTCGGATTCCCGATGCGCAGGAGAGGACTTTTTCACGGTTGGTGGAGCCTGCAAGGCATCTCCATCGGGTCCGGTGGATTGGCTGCAGGATTCAGTTGCGGTGGCTGTTCCAATTGCGCCCTCGTCATCCATGGACAAGAGCTGACGATGCACAAGGAGGGCCAGACGAAGAATGGTCTTATCCGAAGGCTCGCCGGGGCTAGAAAGCGTCTCCTCGAGATTCGCGGTGACCGGAGGCCAGGTGGGGTCGGTGGCGCACTGCTCGACGATGGCTGGAATCTCAACGAGGCGTCGGAACGCACCCAACTGCAACGCGCGACCCGACGGCGCTGAAATGGGCTTCTGCCATTGCTTCTCCTCGCCAGGTGAGTAGGAACTAAGTTTGCTGAAGGCAATACGTCGTGAAACATTAGGCATAAAATCATACATTCAGTCGCACATGAAATAATGAAACGCCGACTTTCTTGAGAACATCCACAAAGACACAGCAAGAGCCAAAAATATCGATTTATGTTTGAGGGGTTTGGGGAAATGTGGTTAGAACAATAGCGAAAACGACCACAATGGCGCCGCAGCGCATCAAGTCGGTTTGCGTGGGAGAATTTCGCTGCTTCCTTCTTTTCACGCCTTTGCGGTGCCTAGTGAAGCGGGTTTACGGGTAGCGGGTTCGATTCTCGCATCAAGCCAGCTAATCCATTCACTGAGGCCCGAGATCGCTGGCTTAAACACGAGCCAGGAGGTGGTGGTGGTGGTGGTGGGTTGTGCTCTTTGACCATACTGGACCCGCGGCACTACCTTTGCCCCTAATTTACCGCCACTGTTTTGTGCGTACACACCAGTTCAATGTGGCTCCTACGCAAACGTGACTCTGATTGGCTCACGCCTGTGTGTCCTTCGTGGTCTGCTGCCGAGGGTTGCCTTGTTGAAGATTTCGCCTGTGTGTCGTTACATTCCGCCTCAACGATATTCAGGCCTGTAAAAAGTCCGTGTTTGGTTAATTTGGGCCGCACAACAGGCTTACTTGTGAAGTGAACACGAGATCCTTCTTACACTGACTACGTCCTACACAGAGTATTTGAGCTGTCACGCATTGTGGCTCTACAGATTTCGCCGAAGCTCCAAATATGCCTCATCTTTTCATTTCGCTGACGTTTTGACGTCGTCTTGAGCGTCTTGTTGATGATTTTCGTCTTGTCATTGAGGGTGTTTTCTCGTTTACCATCACAAAGCGCACGAAAACAAGCCATTTGGGCAGTTTGGTGGTAGCATTTGTTTTCGCCGTCAAAAGGCGCAGTCTACAGAATCGCATAGTCATTATGCGTCTGAAATGATGTCTACTATTTCACCCAGTTTAGTCGTCGGCAAAACTAGGCAGATTTGTGTTCAGACGAGAGAAGCTGCTGCAAACCGAGCACGATGCCGTGGGTTCGTGAGTGATTACGCGTCCTCCCAAGTGCGCCTCCACATTTTACAGCACAGTGGATATTTACTCGATTCGCCAATGGTGTGCCTCCCTATGTGGTTATTTGTGGTGTTTAGTAATGCTTCGTTTCAGATTTGGTCGTTTTTGATTGCTGAATGTCCAAGTTGGACATCGAAGTGATAGACTGTTTTACCGCTGGAGCGAACACCTCACTGTTTTGGCGTTGATGCTTTCGGTAGACAGGAATTCCACCAAATCGAAGATCGTGATTTGGACCTTTGGTACTTCTGAAACTACTCACTAACACCTCGGATGCTTATCGTGAAATTTCAACAAAAGAATGTCCCAAGGAGGAGTAGAACTTGGAGGTGGTGACAACATTGGTTTCACAAGTACACAAGGGTGCACCTCACATTTCCCGAAACATTTTAGCTTGATGGTCGAAAATGACATGCTTTGGTTAGGTACTCATCCTTCATTTAGCACTGTCTGATAGCAAATAAAGTAGACGAGCCTCCTTGTCTAACAACTGACAATTTATACACATCGCAGGCAGAGAATAGGGCTCAACGTGCTGCTAACATTACCGGAAACGCTGATTGGTTAAATTACTTAAAACTCGCTTTATGCACCATCGGAGATGTGAAAAACTCCTCGCCATGAGGACACTGGCCTCTTGCTCACTGACCGCGTGTTGGCAGGACACGAGGGTCAGATTTTGACTGGTTGGGTCACTGTGGTTTTGAAGTGGTTTAACATGTGTTTCAGAGGTAATGTCCAACCCTTTACCTGAAAATTTAGTTGCTGTACGCCTCCCCCAAGCAGGGCCATAGCCCCCCCCCTAGTGAACCGCCGGTTCTGCACCAGGTTAGGTATGGACGTGAATTGTCGAAATCTGTAAGGTTTAATTTTGGCTAGGGAGTGGATCCACCTACCTCGAGGTCACGTCGTAGGCCTCTTCGAGGTACTTGCGGACACTCATGAGGAGGAGACAGGCGGGGGCACTGCGAATGACCTGGGCGCGGAAAGCGCGGCGTCGGTCCGCCACAGCCGGTCGGTTCATGCGGTCCAGGACCTTGCGCTCGATTGGTCCGCTTTCCGCCGGGGGCGTGGACTTGGCGAACAACTCGGCTTCCGCGTCTTCGATGAGATTCGTGACCTAGAATAAGCCAAAGTGCATTTGGGTGGTCTCTCTCTAGGCTGGGCAACCCAGTGGTGGCGTCAGTCCGTAGGGGGGAGGGATGTGGTGGTGGTGGTGGTGGAGGTGGTGGTGGTGGTGGGTAATGAGGGGGGCGTCGTAACAGCTTCACAGCGATAACATCTGCACGCCAATACAGCCGGCGTCTGCCGAACAAAACGCGTGGCTTGAATTCAAACACAAGTGGAAGGCGGTTTTGTCAAAAATGTGGTGAAAATGTGATGTCACAGACGAAAGACTCGGGAAATATTGCAAATAGCCTTCGAGGTAGTTTTAGTGTCGTTGTGAGAACGATTGAGCGAGATGGTTGAGAAGTACAACTGCTTCAGGTCTGCTGGCACACCCAAGCACGCCCCCTCGTGGTGGCGATCGATACCCGAAGAGCTCACAAGTTTCACCTAGTGGCCCTTATAAGTTCAACCAATGAACTTGGCTCAGCTACCTTGTTAGACACGTGGAGGAAATGGTTATTTTGCAAGTTTGGAGGGTGTGAGACACGACAGCTGATCGACTACCTCTAACACGAGCAAAATTACCCGAGTTTAGGATGAGATAGGATGAGCCGGAGGCCAATCTACCGGTCTGGGAGACACGGTAAACTATGTACCAGCAACAGTAACCACTTTGCCTCCGGTAATTCAGATCTAACGCCATAACCGGAACAACGCGTTCTGCGAGTAGCCAATCACGTCACTTGACGTGCAAGATAAACAAGGACGAGCACTTAACGGCTTAAATGCTGCACACGTTCACACACACACACACACGCACCCACATGCCAAGATTTTTCACCCTTGTCAAATGCATGCACGTGCCAAAAACCTGTCGACCAATGAGTGTGAAACACCGGAAAAAAAACAAGCAAACCACGTGACCGGCTTTGAATGACGCTCGCTCAGTGGGCACTTCGAGGTGCTCTTTGCAACCGAAGGAGTCTAGCAACTCACGTCGTTATGGCTGCACAAGCATGGCTACACCAAAAGGACATTTTAAAGGTGCCTCTTATTGGAGCATAGAAGGCACCAGAATCACGAGAGCAGCTTCTGTGGCGTGGACACGGTCGCCGATGTATAATCGAAACATGGTACAACAATTGATCGGATTCGCACATTCGGAACCAAACTAATTCGAACGCTAGCAAAAACAAATCGGCTCACCGCCAAACACACGCAATTGGCGTGGTCGTCTGTTTAGTTTGCTGTCTAATTTGTCGTGTGTGTGTGTGTGTGTGAGGGGGGGTGGACAGGCAGTCTTTAAGGTCGCGAGCTAAACCAGATATTACGCGCACGAACTTCACGCGCAATCTGACAACGCTGGCGTTGTCAAGCCGTGTGTGCCGGGAAATCGGTTGTTTGTGACTTTTGTCACTGCAAGGAAAGTTGAAGCTTCGTTGCCACTGGTCCAAGATGTGTGGCGTGGAGGTGGGTGAGGCTACGTGGAACGCTAAGGAATGGAGCCACATCCAGCACAATCCAAGCGATGGAAAAGCATCTCACCTTCCGATCGTAGACAGCCGCCTCGGCAGCAGGCGTCTTCAACTGCGACGACGAGATCATGCAGTCGTGGAGGGCCCGAGCCACACCCGAGCCCAGAGTGCTAACGCGCAGGTCGATAGAGTGGGCCAGGTAGTTGATTTCGTCCAGCGTCTTGTAGGGGAAGTGCGCGAGCTGATCGCAGATGTAGATTAGCTCCAGGAGCCCGTTGTCGTGTGGAACCTCCGTGGCAACGGCGTTGGCGGCGCCAGGGACGGAGGCAAGGCCGGCGGACGATGACCTCGGCTGCAGATTGGGGTAGCCGGAACCAGAGTACAGGGCCGGGCTTTGGGTCTAGAGTGAATCAAAATCTCCGGATGTGACTGACAAGGCAAACGCCATGTAGGATGGTTAGCTAGGCAAATGAACTTTAAAAAGGCGGTGTACTTTAACTGATCGGTGCGGTGGTCTCCGCCATCGCAATTAAATAGCACCAAAAAGGCTTGTGTATGGTTCCGTAAAAGGTTTGTTTGCCAACACGTGGTGAAGTAAAGCGATAATTCACAACACTTCCCACTTAGCATGCAGATGACACGACCGTTACATGATAATTAACAGGTCTAAGTATTAAGTAGGCAATTTGAACTTCAGATTTTGGCCAGGAAAGAAGTGAGGGACCGAAGGGGTGTTCGGCCCACACATTTTCGCTTGGTTTTAGGAATCCCACGAACGTGTTGTGGGCCCCAGAATGTGGTCTTGAACTACGCCGGTGCCACGAAATTGGCCCTGGCCCGATTACGCTTCCCCGATACCCTCGATGAAGACCGGAGAGGACGTGGACACAACCGTTCACTTTAGAGCTCAACCTGGTTGGTGTCGTTGTGTCGTGTGTGGGGTTTGCGCGTGTGTATTTATACCTCGGATGTGTGAGTCCTACATGCGCTAACATCGAGACCTAGGTGTGGGGATGCTCCAAGATAAATATTCGTGCTAATAAGGGAGGAGTCGAGGATTCGCGCGGCTGGCGACATGCTGCGAAAAGAGGAACTCTGTGTAGGAGGTGGAGCGACTGGGTTGAGGGGCGTTAATAAACACGATTCGCGACAAACGCTTCAAACTGACACCTTCGGATTGTAATTTTGGACGTCCATCGCAAACCCGTTCCTCCACAATGCTGCATTGCATGACGGAAATCTAAGGCGAATGGGGCGTGCGTGTGTGTGTGTGTGCGCAATCGTGAGAATTACTGCGGCTACGCAAGCAATGGGACCAAACAGCCACGCATTGCCGATTGTATCAAAACCACACGCTCTTTGCAACGTCTAGCCGCGCACGCGCGCGCGTGTGTGTGTGTTTGTGAAAAACACATTCGTTGGGTTAATTAGCACGGTGCATGTTTCCTCTTCACCCGTTTTTTTCACACACACCTCCATCCTGGTAAAATTGGTGCGTAAACCAATGTGAACAGGACTAGGGCAACTAGTTAATTGACTTAAGTGGAAACTCAAATTCCGAAAAAGAGGCACAACAGAGGTACTGGTGGAATCCTGCTGCATTCGCCGATAACATCACCAAGTTACGGGGGATTTTAAACACACACACACACACACACACACACACACACACACAAACGATGTGAATAAAACACGCCTTTCGCAAGCGCGATGCTCGAAGTCGCGCATGTGCGCCGTGTACGCGCGTCACAAACGTTTCTGATTGGCTGACACAACACAAAAAATCCAAAATTGCCAAGACGATTTCAGCGTGTTGACAAGACTTAGTACCGATGACATAGGGGAACTTGCAGAGGGGAATTTGTGGGATAAAGCCAGCTAGAGGGACTAGTAATCAGGTGGTGTCATGAAGTTGGAAAAGGGGGAGAGTGGGGTGTGTGTGTGCGCGCCAGAATCGGCGCCAGTACTTACATGATCCAGATCAAAGAGAGTGACGAGCGAGGTGATGAGAGAGCGCCGGTGCTGTCGATTTCCCTGTAGCAGGCTGTAGACTGTGTGGTTGAGGGCGAGGGGTCGCGCCTGGACACTGGAGTCGGCGTTGGAGTCCGACTTGTCGCTGGAGGACTTGGAGACGGTGGCTCCACGAATCACCACCCCCGATTTGCCCGAAGACGAGGCGACCAGTCGCTGGAGACGAAAGCCAATTCGAATGCCCGGTTCTGCTTTCAACTGGAAGTACACGGGAAATCACGAGGATGGCAAGGCATTCAACTCGAGCAATGGAAAGCAACGATGATTCGAGACTGCTTTCTAATAATTGGCTTTAGGCTCTACATAAAAATCGACTAAAAGTACAATTTTACAGAAAGCATTAAAGGAATTTGACTGAAAAAAAATGATGCATTAACATCGAAACATTCCACAAGCGGAAAGATTGGCTCAACGAATCACCACGAAAAAGGAGACGGTTTTCTGAGACTGGTGGGAGGAAGAAGGAGTGTTCTGAGACGCAAAACACATTAATTTCGGTGAGATGAACGAAAACACGAATGACTTGATTGGAGACCGAACAGGCAGACACCCGAGAAATCGGCGTGTTCTGCACCTAGCTCACAAATCTTTTTTTCTTTTTTGCATAAATCAACGACTCACGGCTGCGCCATCGCGTGCGTTCGTCGTAGTTTGTGTAGGCAAGGCGAATTTATCATTATCGCGTGATGCACGGCTAAGGAAACTCAGCGTGCATTTAAGACGCGCTAATCCACTGCCTTGCAGCAATCACATCAATTTAGTCACGAAATTAGCGTTTTTTGTTATAAAAAAGGTAACGCAGATGACACGCAGTGCGCTGCGAGCTTAAACGCGGAAGCTGTAACGAAAGATACGGCTCTTTACCGATTGGGAGACGATAAACAGCAGCATGTGATGACTTATCACTCGATGTGTAAATTCTTGTTCAAACACAACACTCGACAACTCAGGGCAGCGTCGACTGCTAGCCTGAGTCACCGTATTTTAGTGAACTAATTCCCAACGGAATCCAACACCGCTGGTGCCAGCGCAACAAAACGAGGGGTGTAGAAATGCGATTCAGCCGTGAGATCGCCTACCTCGTGTCCGACCAATGACAGCCGGCAAAAAACGATCTAGTTCACCAGTGTCCGGGGTGGTTGGTGATTAAGGCACTTTTTTGACATGAACATCCATTTCGACAGATTACCTATCTATGGACATACACGGCGAAGACGTTGCTAGATTTTTGGAGGGGCTGTCCGACAAACGATCTAATTCAACAGCGGCTGGGGTGGGTCGCTGGTTGAAGCACTTTTACGATCTATTCACGAAGGTTCGCTTGTGCGAATGGGTAGCAGATAGGAAGGGAAACAGGCAACTGCAATAAAAGTTATCAGCTGCGCATTAGCGAATAGGCAGCCAAGAATTGGCCAGCAAACTAGAATGAATGACAATGGACAGGCTACGTCCACAGTGAATAAATGACCAGATTCTAGAGCAGCATTCCAGTTAAAACGAGGGATTGGGCGTAGCAGCTCAAGAAGAACCACATAACGATGAAGTTCCAGATCAGGGTTTACAGAGTTTTCAGTGGAAAACTTCCTCATTGACGGTGATGGAAACTATGGGGACTGAAGTGGACAGCTAAAATGAAATTTACATATTCAAATGATGAAAATGCGAAAGATTGACAGGGAAACAATGGAACAAGAGGCATGAGAGAGAGAGAGAGAGATGAGGGACCGTCCCTTGGGGATTTGGACTAGAATACTTACATGAGTCGGTGTTCTACTTGGTTTAAAAAGAACACAGGTGAAAAAACGATGGAGGCGGAGTAGACGAACGATGGGCAGCCTGAGGAGACGATGAAGTAATGAGGCAATTCAAAGGGAATGAAGCGTACCTTCAATGAAGGTGGTCCGCCGGAACACAAGACACATCTAATTACACACGGAGACTACGGTTTGACAGACACACGCTAGTGACATGGTCACACCTGCCACGATCGAGGTCATTGCAAATGATCAGATTAAAGTGATTGCTGCGTTTTAAGCGTGTTATGTTAAGCGAATTGTGGGGTACAACAGCGCATGGCCTAAGTGGGATGTACAATCATGACACTGTCAATACATGGCACACCATTTACTTATTTACTTCCATAAAATACACGTTTCAGACCTGCATTTCATTTGCCAAGTAATGGATTTCAGTGTGTTAACTTGATCAGGGGGGAAGCAGGTGGTGTTTGCACATAGGAGGGATAGGAGAATAACCCCGCAGGTCACAAACAAGCTTCGACTTACAGCAAGGAAGCCGGGGAATTTCTTATCGGCCTCTTGAAGTTGCTGAGTGGCCCGGGTGCGAACAGGCGCCTCTGGATCGGTTTGCAGACAGACGAGGCAGGCGATTGTGTGAACTGGGTGCACAAGGCCCTGACGGAGAACTGTGGAGATCAGGGAGAGGGTCTTGGCGCGTACCGTGGCCGAGGGGGAGATTATGCAGTGTTCGAGGACTGTCGGTAGGTATACCTGCGCCACGGCGCTCCCGTGGCCTTCGCGGCGGTCACCGAGTTCCTTCAGAGACTCCTGCTTCCGACGTGTCGCCCCTAAAGAGGTGTTAGACAGTACTTAGCCTGCCAACCAGCAATAACCGCAAAACCCAAAAGCAACAAAATCACATACATTCCGAGTCATCCGCTAGCATCTGCTTCTCCTCGTCGACGAGGAAGTTTGTCAGACAGTCGAGGATGATGCACTGGAGGTCGGCGGCAGCTTCGGGTGGAAAACTGGCGCTCACTCCGGCCAGAATATCAGTGAAGAAGGTCTGGAGACGTGCCGAACAGAAGAGGTAGTCGTGTCGGTTGGTTAAGAATGAGAGACCAGCGATGGCCTTCTTCCCCAACTCCACGTCCTCGTTGCTGGGCTGGCCAGAGGCGAGGATCAGACGAGCGTCCTCCTCTTTGCCCAGGAGCAGAGCTCTCTCCGCGAAGAACATGAGGGTGTTGAAGACTTCGTCGCGATTACTTGTTCCACAGGTTGCCTGGGGGAGGGGGGATAGAGGTAGGTGAGGTTGAAAATGGCCGGTAAACGGGTAACTACGTCGAAGCACTTCAGCAAGAGCGCGGAGTAGCATTACAACGACACAAAACGTGGTAGCCTCGACTTAGAGCGGCAATCGTAGCTTCCTCTAGCGCAGAGCACACTGCCACCTTCAGAGGAAGGAAGACACTTCCAAGAAGCATAGCGTCCAAGGATGGATTTCAGGGAGAAGTTGGTATTTCACGTGACATAACAACCGCTTATGTGAAGTAAATTAAGGAGAGGAATTGTATCAAACATGAGCAAGCTGACGCAATCAAGCAGGATTGCACAACGAAGGAAAGTTTTGACGTCATGAGAACTGCTATCTAGCGTAAACACTCATGGATTTGACTGCTTTAAGAGGCACGGTGCATCAACAGTCATGCGGTTTTTTCAAGGAAAATGGGTTTTAGGTCTGTTTGTAGGCTTTACTACTTTTTGATTAAGACGAACGAAAACAAAACCCTAACCAAGCATTCAGCCAATGCAGGTCAGCGAAGTCGTTTAAAGTACATTTGATTTGGCTACGAAAGTACACACACACACACACACACAAAACTACAGCACCGTCAGAGAAGGCGAATTTTGACAGTCGTTGCAGGGCAAGAGAGAGCGCCTTGAACATCCACCAAATACTACCAGGTAGACATAGCGGACATAGGGAAAAATACTCGACCTGAAGCACCTCAAAACTGTGCCTTGAAGCACCTAGGCTTCAGCGTTTCTCTCTCAAACTTACACAGGGTTAATGCAGGTTGTTATTGGTTGGTGAAAATAAAACGCTACAAACGTACCTCGGGGTGCGGCTACAATGTCAAAAACAGACAAAAATGCAAAATAACGACAACAACAACAGGGTCATTTCAACGATTTGGTGGGGAAAAAGAGGAGAGGGGAACAAACGATTGCTGGTCCACGTTCCACAGAGCAAACCGACGATTCCAAAGTGAATTTTGCTTTGGCAATAAGCCCCAGGGGATTCCGTGTTACGGAAGACGGATGTTTAATTAATCACACAGAGAGAGAGCAACCACTCGCTAGTGTGCAACCAGAAAGACGCAACCTCAAACCGCAAATTAGTGCGCCGGTCGCAGTCAGTGATTGGCGTAGCGCCCGGTGCGCCTTTTCCGTTCAATCAATGAACAGCCCAAGTACTGTTGGCACAGCCAATAATACCGACGACGATGACGAAGACCAAGGTGGGATTAGCACGAACCTGTTGAGTGAGGACGCTGAGGTTGACAGAGGTGCGTCTGCCACCGCTGTTTGACTCGTTGATCATGTCGAAGGCCGTGGTGGCGAGATCTTCAAGGGAGAAGTGCTTGCAAATCAGTCCCACGGTGTAGAGAGCGCGCAGCACCCTGGGCCGGACATTGGGCGGGAGACGCAGAAGGGAACTCGTCGGTACTGGGGGGGTGTGTTTCGACGCGAGCTTCTTGAGGCGATCAATCGAGGCACGACGCTCGTGGGTCAGGCATTCTGGGGTAACAGAAGAAATCGATGAGGAAAATCAGGTGGCGTGTTTTATGCACAGAGAGAGGTGAATTAAGCAGTTGGTAGTCTATACCACGACTAAACACACAACGCTTCACCGCTCTCGCTTAAACGCTAGCCACTGCCGGCAACATCAAAGGCAAACCCTGAAGACACGACTTTTATAACCTGCGTTCCTTGATTAATACTCCAACACAACCCAGCAAACGAGCAAGTCGAGAGAGAGAGAGAGAGAGAGAGAGGGTGAACGAAAGTGCCTCGGTGGCGTACTTCTTGACGAATGATTGGACAGAACTCAGCAAGGCTACTTCACCACGTGATGCAGATGAATTAGGATATTGGGCAACGATTAGGGGATGCAGCTAATTGGTGTGAGAGAACGATTTTGGTGATACAAGGGGACTGTTTACATCGGGGGAAAAATTGCCGACAGACCTCTTTAGAGAGTGATTGAAAGGGCACAACGAGCGCAGCATTTAGTCGCGGCAACATGAAAGAGGCTTATCCACACTGGTCAGGTGTCAGCAAAGAAGGCATGGCGACTTTGCTTGCCACCCAGCCGAGCCAAATAGCGGCGGACAAGTAGTTAGCTGGGTGCCCAATCAAAGCAAGTCATTTTCGAGCGAAATGCGAGGCGTACGTCTGTAAGTCGTCCTGGTTGGTATACTGACCTCACAAATGAACGTACTTGAGGATACCAACGTTTTCACCTCTAACGCCCACTACTTTTGTCGAAATTTAGTTAGTGACAATTAGTAGGGCTTTGACTAGTTCCGGGGTAAAAAGACAATTGCCGAAAAACAGTGCTAAACTGATATTGTCGGAAAGACTCCCACGACTACGCATCACTCAATGTCGTGTGGTGTGTGCGTGAATTCGTCTTTTTCCCCACCTTTATCGGCTCCAAAAAGAAGCACATCGGCAATGTTTTCGAAAGTGGTGGCATTGTTCCCCGCTACCGTCCACTAGCTTGGGGTTGTGCGTTTGAGCCCCCCCACTGTCTGGTTTTCTGGATCATCCACGTTTACTCTCGGGGTGGTAGACCAATCGGACACCATCGTTTCCACCGTGTCAGTAAGGAATTCGCAGACAGGACAGGAGGGTTTGTTAGTGGTGACGCATCCACAGTTGGGCCCGTGGGCAAACTAGTGATTTTCACATCAGTAGGTACGATGGCGACGATTGATCGACTTAATGCAGAGTGTGGTTGGTTACTCAATCCTCGCAGTCACAGCCCGTTATTAAGGCACGTCGCCTTGTTTAGATGCACAAACCCACTAAGCACTGAGACCGCAGCCAAGGGCCGAGATTCAAACCTGTCTAAACGTGCCCTGCAAAGAGCAGAGTCGATGGATTTGCCGAGGTATTTGTCTACCAACCACCGAAAGCATCAAGGCCAAAACAGTGAGCCGTTCGCACCTGCGGTAAAACAGCTTATCACTTCGATGTCCAACTTGGACATTCAGCAATCAAAAACGACCAAATCTGAAACGAAGCATTACTAAACACCACAAATAACCACCTAGGGAGGCACACCATTGGCGAATCGAGTAAATATCCACTGTGTTGTAAAGTGTGGAGGCACACGTGGGAGGACGCGTAATCACTCACGAACCCACGGCATCGTGCTCGGTTTGCAGCAGCTTCTCTCGTCTGAACACAAATCTGCCTAGTTTTGCCGACGACTAAACTGGGTGAAATAGTAGACATCATTTCAGACGCATAATGACTATGCGATTCTGTAGACTGCGCCTTTTGACGGCGAAAACAAATGCTACCACCAAACTGCCCAAATGGCTTGTTTTCGTGCGCTTTGTGATGGTAAACGAGAAAACACCCTCAATGACAAGACGAAAATCATCAACAAGACGCTCAAGACGACGTCAAAACGTCAGCGAAATGAAAAGATGAGGCATATTTGGAGCTTCGGCGAAATCTGTAGAGCCACAATGCGTGACAGCTCAAATACTCTGTGTAGGACGTAGTCAGTGTAAGAAGGATCTCGTGTTCACTTCACAAGTAAGCCTGTTGTGCAGCCCAAATTAGCTAAACAAGGATTTTTTGCAGGCCTGAATGCTGCTTAGGCAGAATGTGACGACG